TTACCTTTTTACCAATCTTAAACCCACCCAATCACCCCCCCTAACCTAGTTACAATTTGATTATTCTTTACAGTTTTTTTCAGAAGTATTCTGATGATGTAAACAATAACCCTAACTAATTTTTATTCCTGTCTGACAAACCTAATGTACACATACACACACACAAATAACTAATTATCCACATAATTGCGATTTTCAGACAACCAGTTCCCTTTATTACTTTTTAAACAGAGAAAGAATGAACATATTTGCAGGATAATGAGAGCTAGTTTTATCTCGTGGATTCTCTCTCTCTTCAACTGCATGCATCCTAAACAAAATCAAATTATCGCTTACAAAATTTCTGAACATACTTTTACAATTACTTCAAGTTATAGGTGGAAAGTATAAGCACTATAATTTCAAAGATGATGTGAGTCGACAATTATTTAGTGTTAAAAGGTAGTGGCTTTTGGCTTCCGTCGTTTTTAGTGGACACAGAGTGAAGAGCCATCAAGTAGAGGAGCTGCATCAGTAGAAGGAAGGTAAGATAATAGAGGTGAAGACAAAGATGAGTGAGGATTAGAGAGGTTTCGCGTGCATTTCGGATTGTTACTTCCCGGCTGCCCACACCGTGGAAGTTGGTTGCGTGACCGCAGAGCCCAGGGGACAACTGCTTGAGGCCGGTCACACGCGGCCTGTTTTTGTTTGTTCTTTTTTATTTGGTGTGTCTCAGTAGCATATTTATCACTTCTGCCCTGTGACACGGCAGCAGGAAGCGCGGTCGTTGTTAATCCGGGCCCCGACCGATCCGGCATGATATTTTGCGATTTTGTTTGGATCATAGCATTGGATTGGGTAACTGCTTTTAGTCTAACCGCTATCCAAACAACCTTTCTGGCATGGTGGGACCTCAAGCAACATAAGTCATTGCGGTGTCCAAGCCCGACCACCACGTCAAGGTAGCAGGTTACGGTTGGGATTTAGTGTTAAAAGAGTAACTATTTATATAGCAATTAGACAAGGGAGGGGGGGGGGGGGGAATTTCAGATTTCGATTGGAAACAAGGATGGACTAGAGATAAAATACAAGATAGAACAACTGAGTGAATTTATACATATCGTGGTGGAGAGTTCAGGAGAATGGGGAGGGGGGGTGAACACTGAAGGAAAATTATAAGATAGATAAAATAATTTAACAGATTTGGAAACTTAATAGTGATGAGTTCAACTCAGTAAGTGAAAATCAAAATTGAGTGGAATGTTATGCAACAGAACAAAACAACTGCGGTTACCAGGGTAGTGAAAGATTAGTCATATAATCTATCTGTATTGATTATACTGAAAGCCTGACTAATTTCCACTGTATGTGCCGTGTAAACTAACTTTCAGGCAATTGCGCTCGAGAACATTTCGCTACTTTTCAAATGGAGACTTTTAGGGGTATGCTCGGAGAATCTGGTAGACGCTCTCCTCTCTGTTCTTCCTATGCAGTTGCTGCCGCAAGTGCAGCTGAATTAGTAAATGCAGTTAGTGGTGACACACGGGACAGGATACTTATCGACTTTTGACTGGGTTAACAAACATACTGTGTTATTAAGTGGGTAATGTTTTTTCCAGTGCACCTTTAATTCTGCTTTCTGTTCTTGTGCATACTTCCTCGCCTCTGTACTCTAGAGAGATAAAAACTTGTTTTTTTTTCAACTACTTCGGATTTCACTTCAGATGGTTTTTGATATGAACTTTCGAGGGTGTCCAATTTCGATAAGGTTGTTTTCGATGACGGCGAATTCCTCTTCGATCTTATCTTCTGAACACAACGCCCTAGCTCTGCTGAAGAGCGTTTTCACCAGGCTCCGTTTGTTGCCAATCACGCAAAAGGAGTGAAAATTCAAGTATTGACTAGTCTAATTTTCTTTCCTGTAGATGGATTTCTCAATCATCCCATTATTTCCTCCTTTTATATTGAGGTCTAGGAAGTGGAACTAACTATCATATTCATGGTCCATTGTAAATGCTGTGTGAGGGTGAGCCACACTGAAGTTTTTGAACATCGTAGATGTGAAGTCCATAATGTTGCGAACCACTAAGGTGCCGTCAACAAACTTGAAGTAATAGGTGGGTCTCTCTATTTCCGGCTTCATTCGTGTCTGTTCAATATGAACCATGAATATGTCCGCAAGAACAGCAACCAAAGGTAAACCCATAACCACCGCATCAATTTGCCAGTACAGCAGGTTGTTGAATCGGAACTGAACGTTCCTTGCACAAAGAAGTAGTAATTTTCGTAGCTCCTTTTCAAGGAAGAGGAAGTAGTTCGGATCGCTGACATACGATTCTCACTATTTCTTCAATAGGTATGCTAGTAAACAGCGAACACACAAAATTGCGATTGTACAGCTAGGTGAATAAATTAACCACCGAAAAGAGACTCTTCACTGAGCACTACGTGTTTTTTGTTTTCATCATTATTGTCTGTCTGAATGGGGATTATTCATGTGATGAATTGAAAAGATGAGAAATAAAACAGACAAGGCAACTAACCTGATCCTGAATATGCTCATCACAACACGCTCCAATCTCCACGTATTTATACAATGATTCGAAAGCTTCAGATACTAACTGCTTGTGAGATGGACCTCGAGGAGCACTGATTCCAGAGACAGCCAAAATACAATCCGTTGAAGTATGCAACATATACCTAGAGTAAATTAATTAACATATTCAAAAGTTGTTTTTTTTACGGATTTGATTTGTTTTTCAAGTTTTTACACGGATTGATATCAGTTAGAGAACCATTGAAAACCACCAGGGAGTACTAGGCAGCTGTTTCGCACTGGTTTGGGAATTATCGGCAGTGCGCACCCACAGCCAGGGTTCCGATCCAAGACCTTCCAATTACAAGGCAAGCTCATACGCATTTCAGTCACCGGAACCCGACTCAACGGTTAGCCCATGAATTCTAACTTCTGCCAGTTCGTGATTTTAAAGCGATTTGCACCAGCCAATGTCATCGGTAAGTATTCTCCCTCACTCTCAACAGGAAGGACCCCACTACCGGCCATGACTTCTCACTAGAACTCCAGGAAACTCCGTCCTGTCGTCAGTCACTAGTCGCATCGGATAATTGACATCTATCTCAAATATTTACATATTTATGGAGAAAATTATTTAGAATCAAAATATATAACACGACGTTTCACATTCATTTCATGCCTACAAGTGAAAAGATATTCTTAAAATTCGGTGCAGATACAAAGGTGCAATTAACAATGAAATCTAATTGCGATTCGAATTCCTTTTCACCATCCTGAATGCTAACAACATAGTAACAATAAACTAAATCTTACGAAATGACACTTTATTATTAAGAACCATGAAATACCAACCCAAAAACAAAACAAGCGAATCCAGCATGACTACTTGATAGCATAGTAACAGTATACTAACCTCTAAATATCGAAGTGAAAAAGGGCTGTTTAAACAACTTAATCCTGATGTTATTTTTATTATTATTGTTGTTGTCCCCTCGAGTTTCAAGTGGAACACAGGGGGCTTCAACAGAACATCTTCACTCTGTCCTATTCTATGAGGTTCTCTTTGGCTTCCTGGCTCCACAATTGCCCATATAGTGTCCGATCGCCTCCATGTCATCCTCGGATCAGCTACACTCAATTCGTCGTTTCCCATCCAGATTCCACTTGAGTGATGGCCTGCAGCATTGCACGCGAGGTCATTCGACGGTCAACTCAGTGGTGTGTGCCCAATCCATCTCCGTTTCTTTCGGAATATTCGTTGGGCGGTAGATTCTTGGTTAGTTTGTTCCCTTAGTTTCTTGTTGCTAATTCTTTCTAACCGGCCAACTGATCCTCAATATAAAGTCAGAGAAGTGAGCAGCTGTTGATAAGAGCCTACAGTAGCTTGTTGGAAATGCTATTGGTGACGGGTACGCCAAGTTTCTGACCCATATAGAAAAACTGACTGACTTGACATTTGTGTTGGTTATGCTGTTTGAGCGCATATTTCCAAACTGATTTCAGAATGATGAAGGTGTACCTGCCTTTTCGATTCTGGCTTTGGCGTCTTCATCCGGCCTGGTTGTAGTTGAAACGATGCTGAATAGATAGATAATTGAAGAAAATAACCTCCTTTAAATTTTTATCGTCGATATAGATTGGTGCTGATTGTTCTTGTTGTTGGTGGTTGGTTGGTTGATTATCTTTATCACCTCTGTCTTCCCGATGTTCACTTGAAGTCCTGTCTTTGCTACCCGCTGTTTCTGTCATCTTGTTGGTTCCAACCTGTAAGCCTTCCAATTTACGTGATATTAGACATAAGTTACCTACGAAATCCAGACCTCCTAGAGTCTTCTTATCGGTTTAGTGTATTCCTGTCTTCTTGCCCGTCACACACGGTGTTCCATACATTCCAGTACACCACAATTAGAAATATAATAGGTGATAATACGTTGGCAGCCTTACCTTACTCCTCTATTCCCTTTGGATGTCCCGTTGAGTATTTCGTTGTGAATCACCTGACACATATCATTTTCCTGTGGCCAGCTGTTAAATGAGGTTGATAAAGATTTAGGGCACACCAAGATGTTGAATTAATTTGAAAATTATTTTACGGTCAGCACTGTCGAAGGCCTTTCGAAAGTCTTCTAGTTTACTAGCTCGGTAGTTTTCTAGACGATCCCAAGCCCGGGAATAGATGGAGAGTTGGGTGTAGGGCTAGAGACCCTACCCCAGAAAATCAATCAAACTGCTACTTCAAAGTTCAATGCACAGTCCTGACGTAGGTTCCAAATAATGAGTGCTGGAGATTAAACACACTTCACTAAAGTTAGTGAAGTCAATCGGATGAGCAGCCAACCACGATATATCTTTTCCGGTTTGTAAGCAAACTCATGGAAATTTACGTGTTAACGAAAGAAAGCCCTTAACGGCTGTATTTATCACATAAAAAGTTACAAAAACAAAAATTTGACCAACAAGACATAAATGAGTCCCTTTAACATACATAAATGTAGCAACATTGCCCTGGCAACGATCATCACTTTCCCGAAAGGAATGAATATCTACAGAACACTTGGGAAAGAGGTTTCCAATACAACGAGATGCTTCGGTTTTCATTTCGTGTGCAACCTAGCTGAATACAACACAAAAAGTAAGTCAATTTCTGTTACAAAAGTGGGTGACTCTAAACAGCAGCAGCCCAAAATGAGACTACCTAATAAAGACCTTGTCAAATCTCCGTCAACCAATCAGATGCGTCCGAAGTTGAAGTGTGTAATTTAAGAAAAACGTTTATATAAAAGTAATGGCATGTTAAAAAGTAGTTATGTAGAATAACGTCCTTGAATACATTCCAACAAAACCTTTAAATTTCCCATAGGAGTCCTCATAGTTAGGTTGAACCAATTCCGGCACAAAAATCTGTCGAGATAACTGCAAATCCTCGTGTTTCTTGGTTCATTTACCTCTCTGATCCTCTTATTTGGGTGACTAGAAACTTTCGATGGAATCTGTTTGAGTCACATCGAAAAGATTAAGGAAGTCGTCTGCATGATTGACCACGATGTGAATATAGCCTAGGGATGACAGTTGGCTACATGTTTACTCTCTTCCAATGAGCCTGTTGTCTAAGCAGTACTTAAATTTTTTTATTTTTGATTATAGCTTGATTCCACACCATAGTTTTATTGATACAAATATGGAATTTTCAGCATGTGATATCGGTAGCCCAAATTTAGCAGGCCGACCATTGATATCGGGTGTGCGTCGGCAGGGGATCGAACCCCGGACCATGTGCATGGTCGGCGAGAGTCCTAACCGCTGTGCCACCGACGCTATACTATATTTGGATGAAATTCGCTGTGTGATCCGTGTACAGCATCCATAATTTTCTCTACCTAGTACGGACTCATCTCACTGGTTGCTCAAGGTCATTAATCCGTTCACTAGGTACTTTAGTTCTGGGCTGCTATAGTTTAGAGTCAGCCAACAGTGAAACAATATTAAAAGAATATTCGAGGAAGAAGCATAAAATCGTTTCATAACATGTACGATGTAATCTTTATTTAAATAATGTACAACTTTCTCTAACGTTAGAAAGACACAAATTACACCTTTGACTATTATTGCGAAATAGGTGGGTCATGCATTCTTTGCATGAGCAAGCAATATTCTGGTGGTTTCCAATTCACGATGACTATAAACCTAGATTCTAAGTTCAATAAACATGTGTAGATTAAGTGATACTGCTTGGGAGAAACAGATACGGCAAAACCAGGCAGGCTTTAGAACAGGAAGAGGGTGTATCGATCAAATCTTCACCCTTCGATAGATTCTGGAACGGAACATAGGCATACTTACCGGCTTCCAACAATCGTTATATTTCTTGACCTGAAAGTGGCATTCGATTCCGTCAACCGAGAAGTACTATGGTGATGTTTGGCTGGCTGTGAAGGGAATGCCGAGAAAATACATCACACTGATCAAGGCACTCTACTCGAACTCAAGCAGCCAAGTGACAGCCTACGGAGAGTTGTTATCTGAAGTGGTGACAACCAATGGTGTATGTCAGGGATGCCCACTACCCCCATTTCTGTTTAATTTCATCGTATAAGTACTAATGCAATTGACCCTAACTGACTTCAACGACTCAGGGATTGACTTGTTACCAGGGGATAATCTCGTTAACTTACAACATGCGGATGATATATTCCTCTGAGGTGAAGATGCCGACGAAACGTACAGTCTGCTGAGCACCTTGAACAGTAATCTTCGAATGTTTGGCATACAATTCGCTCCTGATTTCAAATATAAGATGATGCTACAGGACTAGACTACGTCAAATTACTTCTAGCTTAAAGATATGGAGTGAGCGAAGTAGCAGAGCGTGTTGATCCCTTCACTTATTTGGGAAATTGCATTAGCCAACCCCAGTCGGCTGACCGCTGACAAAATTCTATCAAGAATACAAAATGCTCGTTTAGCATTTGCAAACAACTCATCCCATCTCTGGCTTAGTAAACGTGGTATATGGCTATCGATCAAGGGATGTGTGTACTGCTCAGCAACAGTCTGCTCCATCATCCTTTATGGCTGGCTGTGAGTGAGACATGGTCATTGAAAGCGGAAGAAACGAAAAGACCAGATGGCCGGCTATCTTTGATCATAGGTGTCTGCATTCTATCTCCCATATTAGATTAGGTGGCATAATAGGGTGGTGAGTAACATTGAGATAAGGCGTCAGTCGAGTGCTAGACAATGAGGAGGGAAAACCAATCGACGAGGTTGTGAATCCATATTCATTGGGTGACATGGTTAGGATATGTGTTACTCATGCGTCCCTACTTATCGATCGCCTTCCTCGAGTGACGGCCAATCTTAGCCCAGCTGACATAGGGTGGATCAGGTTGGAAAAGAGCTAGCACGCGGTGGTTGTCAAACCAAACAATGGCTTCATCAATCGATCAAATCAACAACAGTTAGTTTAAACCAGACAGCCAGCGACGTGGAGAGGTATAGGCTGGCTTTCTGACTGGCTGGTTGGGATTCCCGAGATGGTATGAACCAATGAGGGCTAGAGGTAATTGGTAGTGATATGGTTGACTCAAAGGCGCTCACAGTGGCATTGTTTATTGGCTCTCTTCTCTTGCCATGTGTGCTACAGGGACATGGGGGTGGCAACTGGAACAGCTACACATCTGGACAAAGTTCTACATTGAAACCAGTCAGTCAGGGATATTTTGCACTTTTGTTAGATTTCTGCCCCATAATAATCAAGTAATTTCGTCAGTGAATCATAGGCTACAGGATTAACTCTTCCGTGGGGAAACGACTCAAGATGTCACAAACTATGAATGACTAGCCGTAGTGGTTATTGTGTGTTAACCAATGTTTTTATACCCATTTATTTGGTTAAGTTTGCCATTCACGCAAACGCCAAAACACAGTTATTAGACTTGAAACTCGGACTTATTTCGACACATAGAAGCTGGTTTTGAGGAAACAATGGTTTTCCATAAATTCTTCATCAGACTTTAGTTATTAATCCATAAATATTAAACAGAGATTGAACGCAGACACCCGTGACCAAAGACTACCGGCTAACCGGTCTTTTCATATCTTCCACTCTCAATGGCCATGTCTGACAGCCATAAAGGATAGAAACATCCCACAGAAGAGATGGAAGGAGGCTTTTTTTTCTAATTATACTTGACAAAACTTGTATGAAGTAAAACATAATTAGACTGACATTATTAAGATACAACGGGGAAGGTTCAACTAAGGTAGGGTGGCGAGAGGGTTGAAATATGTGGAAGCATTTTCGACCAACACCAAAGGTTGGACTTATAAACTTCTCTACAATTACCTAAGTTGAGAGTTTTTATATCTGATTTTTAATACTGTACTCTTACCATGATTATTGGCAATCGTAACTTTAGAATTATAGAATAGTGGTCAAATAAAACTGCATAGGAAATACACTGCCTTATACCCTATGGCGACGAAGTGAGAAATTACTCATGAGATCTTGCTGAACTCATACACAGAATGCAAGAAATATAAGCAAATAAGGAGTATCGATATGAAGTCTGCGAAATCACTTACCCTCTCAGGAACTTTTCCTGCTACAAACGAATATCCAGATATTGACTGTACACTTCCCATTTCCAGAAGTGATATGGCAGTAAGTGATCCCTGTACAGGTGAAATCAAAACCTTCACAATACCACCACCTTGTGGATAAAATCCTCTTTCTTAATAGTCGGATTTTAATGAGCACTTACCGTCTAATGACTTGCAGCTCATAATTCAATCCCATTCGCTTGAAGTAATTCGACGTCACCTGGTGAAAGAACTATATGATTTTGTTGTTTCAGTAAAGTACCTTTTTCATGAAGTCTATCGGAGGTGCGAAGGAAGCATCAGTACCCCCACGTAATATAACTTCGCTTGGGCCAGAAGCGAAAGCCAAGATAGGTCCAACAGCCTGGAGCATCAGCGACACTGATCTGGGGATCGAATTACAGAGTAATCTCCCCTACAACATACCCTGCTGTCTTTGCATCAGCTTCGTAACTGCCTGGAGTAATCTGACCAGGAGTCAAGGCTATTTTCGTTGATCCAAGTGCACAAGACGTCAGGCTACCTGAACAAACCTTCGCTGAAATTTCCAAAGCAGCCAAATGTTGGTTGCTTAAGTTTGAAAACTAGTTTATCAACTACATACGAGGATACCTTAAGCCCGGATTATTCCGACCAGCTCGTATGTTACATACTTCCACGGGTCTTCCTGTTATCGCTGATATTGCTACAGCACTACGCAGAATCTGACCACCCTGAAAGACAAATGGATATTCGATCGATATTTACATACTCCCTCCAACTTGCTACCGTCAACAGATATAATTTGGATATCTGCCCTATTGTTCATCTTCTGAATTTTCCAAATTTAACACAATTACTCTCTCACTAACAGAACTAACCGGGGCCAAACGGGAATTACCGACGTACACCTCGATGACCTTGGCCAGTTAAAATCCCACTAACTCCTCAACATCCAATTTACAATTTGCGAGTTTGTGGGGCAAGTGGATTTCTTCCCACCCCCTAGAACCTCTGGATTTAGTCGGGTAGTGCCATATTTTGATGGCTGACAGTAAATTATATCGTCTTAAAGGAATGAAGTTAATCATTCTAGCCGCAATCTAAGATATTGTTTAAGTGGGAAGTTTTACTTGACCGAAGTTAAGCTATAAAAAATTTACCCGAATTTACAATTTTTATGTCTTAGAAATATGCCCCCAATTCATTACTAGAGTCGCTAACGTTGGTTTAAGCCAATTTATGTGCATGCACTCATTTAAATGACTACATACTATATAACTGCGTAATTCAACTGATTACCCCCATCTGGTTTCTCAGATGTCCTTGGAGTCCTACAATGGAGTTAGTGTGAGTCTTATCCAAAGATACAGTGAAGTCAGAAGAATGATTTGCAGCGTGATGATTAAGGCCAGATAACAACAACTTTCTGACAGCACTAAGTTAATCCGTGCGAATGGTTGTTCCAGGTATCATTAGATATGGTATTATTGGTGTTAATATACTCCCGTTTTGAATTTTTTAGACTATTTCAATCGTTCTCTTACTAAATGTCCGACCTTGCTGATTGCCCAAGGTCATTTAATTGGTCGTTTGTCTGCAATGGTTTATTTCGCCGGAGCTTCAATTTGGATTTCAGCGAGACAACGCACCTCACTTTCCAGTCGTATCACTAGTTGTTCACCAGGCCACTGAACTTTATGAATCCCCTTACACAAAGGTGAGCATTTTACTTGTGATGAACACTTACTTCTACTGATCACAGCCTTAATAAACCTGTTATGCACTTGAGTGATTACGTAACAATTCCCAAGTCTTCAGCTCGAGGTCGGCTTCAGTGTGGAGACCAAATTTATTCGGTTGGTGATGTCTGCGTTCTACTGTATGGCTGACAAAACTTCGTTGAGACACGCACCATCATAAAACGTTCCAAACGAAGTTAAAAGGTGATTATTATCCATTATTCTAGCGGTTCTATTATACAATAAGAACATCAAACTCAAATTTACCTCAGCGATGCCATGAGGCAGCTTTGAAAAAAAATGTAGGTTTCTAAATACGAAAACAAATGTTGTAAGACAGGATTAGTCGACTGCAGTTCAACTGTAATTCAACTGTGCATTAGAATCGAGGGAAATATTACCAGCCAGGCTAGATGAAAAGCTCACTCCACAAGAATCACACACGAAGGCTTCAGCAAACAGTCCCGAGTCAGGATGACCTTCATGCAATCAAATAAACTTATATCGCTAATTAACACATTCTTAGTCAACATAACCACAAAGAAGTATTACAATGAAATACTAAACAAGGACGAAGGCAAATAGTAGGAGTCAAAATTCAACATATGATATGCAGATGTTAAATTAATGATACAGTCTAGGGAAAATACGTACAATCGACACAAAGTTAGTTGAAATGCCTTAATATGTGTAGATATTGCAAATAGAGCGTCCAGATAGGATTTTCCAAACAATTAGCCCATTATACCGCCAGCCAAAATCCCTCCATACACTTGAAGACAACTTTTAATGCTTTCTGTCATGAATGTGTTCCTTACACCTGAGGTTCAGGACCTATAACATTTCATTATTCGTCGAGTAGCATCTAAAATGAACTTGAATTTAGCATTGCAAGTGTATACTACCATTCCAAGGAGTCTCCAGTTCCCTCTTGTATATATCTTGTAAATGTACGTCCACTGATGTATTATCCGTAATTGTATTTAATACCATTTTTCAGTTTTTCAGGACGTTCTTCTCTTCCTCAAAATAGCTTCTAACCACGAGGCGGCATAGCACTTATCCAAATATGCGCTGTCCACTGGTTGACCCTAACTATCGGCAGGAAACGGAACGAAATTTGAGTTGTCGCTCAACATCGATGGTGACCTTAGTGAAGGGGTTACAATTTCGCATTTATAAGAACCTGTTCTGATTTCTTGTACAATAATTGAACAATTTGAACCTTTGAAAAAGTATTAAATTATGATACTTCAGGACTGTAATTTATAACACAACTGATCGTGTCTGTAAAAATGACATGCATTTCTTGTAAACTTACCCGTTTATACGAAAAATTATTATTATCCTCAACGCACCACTTGCACAGATCTTAACATATATTTTGAGCGTAAAGCTCAGATATTGGTCCGTGTTTCTCTTTCGGGTGATTTGCGGGCCAATTAATTACCTGAAACGCATTAACCCTGGCAAATGTCCAGTTTATTCACTCTCTATCCACTCTAACACAGCGCTTCAAGCTGAGGAGAGGCGGTTCATACCTCCTCGAACAACTAGAGCCTGCCGTGAAGCGTTCATAGGACCCTATTCTACGGCTTTTTTTATTCAGCAGCTACGGATTTTTATGGCGAACGACTGGCTCAAATCCTACCAGTATTCATGACACCAGTTTTACATGAACGGTCAGTGCCACAATCTCTGCAGAACCGGAAACAGCCTCCGCGCTCGTCATACGTTACAGTTTTATTTCGCACGAACGGTACAATATCAGGAATCAAAGTTTGGGTAACGGGACACCCGACCCCCCACGCTGACGAACACCGCCTCTGCTAGACCTCGCAGCAGCGCCCTCAGCAGGACCGCCTTCGCCATAGGATCCTTGACGCACACCGACACAGTGACGGTTTCAAATTCCTGCGAGAAGTTCTTACTGCCCCCTTCCTCAAAAGAAACCTGCCATAGTATCTTCATTGTCTGGAAGCAGTGACAACAATTAAAACGGCAGAAGGCGAAGACTTGGTAAAGGAATGTTTATTAGGAGATTGGTATCTCTATATAGACAAATTATGCATACCTTATCTTCAACGCACCGTTTACACAGATCTTCGTGTTGTGGTATTTTTGGAATTCACGTCGTGTTCCTTTGTGTTCCTTTGAGCTTTCACATGTATTTCTACAACGCTGAATCATTCGCTTCCTCTGAAATCAAATAGTTTACAGCTAAAAATTTATTTAGGATAGTAGGCTATATGCCTGTGTTAATCCTTTCGATTTGTTGCACACAGGAGGTCCAATCTCGCCTTGAATGAATCAACGGATGGCGCTGATACGACGTGTTCCGGTAGGGAGTTCCAATGGTTCACAATTCGATGCGAAAAACGGATCTCCAGACGCAGACGATTCGACCGTGGTTTTTGAACCTTGAGGTGATATCCTCGCAATTGGTTGGTGCTAGAAGGAAGAAATAATTTAGATAAATTAGCTCCAAAATCATTTCTTAGGATACGGTATGCTAGTATTAGGTCACCCCTAAGTCGTCTGTATGACAGTGGAAATGAACCCAGTCGACTTAACCTCTCCTCATATGAGAGGGTTGAGAAACCCTTTATTAGCTTAGTCCCTACTCTTTGCACCCTTTCTAATAAGTCTATTTCGTATTTGAAACACGGGCTCGCTGCCTGGATCCCATATTCCAAATGAGGTCTGATATAAGTCGGATATAATATACGAAATATATCAGCGTCAAAGTTCGCAAAAGCCTTGCGTATGGCTGCAGCTCTACAGTTTGTTGCTGTTTTCAAGTCATGCTGCACAACCACTCCCAAGTCCTTGTACTCAGTGACCACTGGGAGAGTAATGCCATTCATTGAGTAACTGTGCACGTGACTATGAGATACATGCATAACTACACTCTTGCTTAAGTTAATCTCCAAGGCCCAGTGCTTACACCAATCACTTAACAAGTTTAAATCTTCCTGCAAAGCAAGTTGATCACTGTCATCGTGTAAAGCCCTCCATATCTTGATGTCATCAGCAAACAGTAAGCAGGATGACCTAACTACCGATGGAATCTCATTAACATAAATCAGGAAAAGAAGTGGGCCTAGAATTGTACCCTGAGGAACGCCACTCTTAACCAATTCCCATGTTGATAAAACCCCGTTAACTCGTACTCTTTGTCTTCTGTCCTTTAGAAAGTCTTGAATCCAGTCGGCAACCACTTTATTGATTCCCAGACTACCTAACTTTACTAGAAGACCTGAATGAGAAACCCTGTCAAACGCCTTGCTAAGGTCGATGAATATGGCATCCACCGGTATATTAGCATCAGCTGAGCTTGCCCAACTTTCTCTGGCCAAAAGAAGGTTGGTCAAGCAAGAATGACCTGCTCTAAAACCATGCTGTTCCACAGCGAAAAGTTTGTTCCCTTCAATGAACTGAATGATAGCATCACGAATTATTCTTTCTAGTAGTTTAACAACAATACTGGTCAAACTAACAGGACGATAGTTCTGAACTAAGTTTCTAGATCCGGTTTTGAAGACCAGACCAATGATGGCATCTTTCCAGTCTCTTGGACATTTAGACTGGTCCAGAGACATTGAAGATTACCGACAATGGCTCGGCTATGTTTTCAGCCAATGCTGTTAATATACGTGGGTGGAGTTCATCAGGGCCACTGGACTTACCAGGATTGAGCCTTAGAAGCCACTTTAGGACAGTATCCTTTCCAGTGTATAAGGGTGCCATTTTCAAGTTACCTTCTGGAAAAGTTACAAAGCTGGTATCAATATTATCAGAGAATACTTGACTAAAGTGCTTGGACAAAGCCTCAGCCTTAGTCAAGTTATCCTCAGCCATGTTTGTCTGGTCATCTTCAAGCATAAGAGGTGGGATAGCATCACTCTTACGTGTTCTTCTCTTGATATATGAGAAGAGTCTTTTTGGACAGCCTGGTGAACTTTTAACTAACTGGGTTTCGTAAGCTATCCTTGACTGGTGAATCAAAGTTTACACTGGTTTCTGGTTTCACAGTATTTCAGCCGGAACTGTTGTAGCCCAGTAGAAACAAAGAGATTCCAGAACCTTTTTCTCCATCTTAGGAGTGTTATAGCTTGTCTATTTATCCATGGTGGCCGATTTGTTGGCCTTTTAGGAACCTCCAGGGAATGAAATCA